CCTTCTTCTTTGTTTTAGTTTATTGTCTTTGTATTCTCTAAATTCTTATTCTTCAACATCTTCTACTATTCTTCTTTTGGTTTTATTAGCCGTTTTTATCTTCTGTTTTTTACTTCTTCTTGGTCCTTTTTGTCCTATCCAAACTTTTTTTTCTTTCTAATTTTTGTTTGTCCTTTTCGCATCTTTACTTTCTTCTTTTTTATTTTCTTTTTCATCGTCGGGTTGTCATCTTCTTATACTTTATTTTCTTCATCTACCATTTTTGTTCTTCTTTTTCTTTCAGATTTCTTCTTCAACTTTGAGTTCTTCATCTCCTTATCATTTTTCTTTTTCACTATTTTGTGTTACCCATCTTGATCTTATCTTTCATGGTCTAGGACTTTTTGTTCATTTTTTCCTCATTTTTTTACGTTTTCGTCAACTCTATGTTCTTCTATTTGTTTCAGTTTATCTTTTACTCTTCTTTTTCTACTTCGTTTTCCCTTTTTCCCTTTTTCTGTTTGCTTTTTTGGTTTTTTCCTCAGCGTCCTGCTAGAGTATTTGGCATCTCTTACATTATTTCAAAAATAAACAGAATTCAGAAAGCCGTATTTAAAACAAGCAAAAAAAAAACAAAAGACTTAAAACATGTTCATTAGACAATGAAGATGATTTATGATATGTTGACATGGTTTTAATCACGTTAAGTAAGGAAGAATAACTGACAACACAAAACAACAACATATAATCGAGGAACACTACTACTGGTACTAAAAAACGGAAAAAACAATAAAAAAAAAACAAAAAATTGATTTATAAAAAATAAAGACGGTAAACAATACAACAAAAAGCCGACCAATGTAGAAACCAAACCACAATTGAGCTTAAGATACATTTAAAAAAGTAATATATTTATATATTGCTCTCAACTTAAGCTAGGATTTCCCACATCACATGTACATTTTTTTTTCAGATAATCTCGCTCAACAGATAATACGATTAACGAATAAAGGGGAACTAAAAAGATTTTATTAACGAATAAAGGGTAATTAGTTACCTAGATAGAATGAGAGACCTTATAGCGAAAAATTTACTTTGCATATATTATATATGATTCTAAATGTTTTTTTGATTAAATTCTAATTTTTAAATTTTCGTTATTTTCTATTTTAAATATTTTTTATTAAATTTCGATTTTTAATAATTTTTATTAAATTTAAATGTTTTTGATTAAATTTCGATTTTTAACAGTTTTTTTTATTAATTTACGATTTTTCATATTTTATTTAATTACGATTTTTAATATATTTATTTAATTACGATTTTTAATATTTTTTAATTAATTTACAATTTTTAATAATTTTATTATTAAATTAATTTTAAAAATATAAGAAGGGATAAAGGGTAATTAGCCACCCTAAAATTAAATGAGAGAGCTTTAACTCAAAATTTTACTTTGCTTATAATATATATGATATATATATATATATATATATATATTATATTTAAAAAAATATTAAACTCCGCTATATAATTTGTAATTTTCATCGACTAGAACTTTTTTAAAAGCTACTTATAAGAAATCGAATGCATAGATATTAACAAAAAAATTGAATGTGTATAAAGGGATAAAAAAAAAATAACTGCATAAAAAAACTATATGGTCTATGTCAATGGATTCATCCAATCGGTTCAGTTTGATCACATTTGGACTTTTATTATACACAACTCAAATGACCTGTTATATATATATTTACTTGGATATGAGGTACTCGGTCGCAACCAACTAAAATTTTAAATTGATATATTAGAATTTGTAAAACTGAATTTCAGAGACCATATTTATAAATTATCAAAAATGGTTAGAAAGTCAAACATGCAATTTCAAATTATAAATTTGTCACACACTGGAGTTATGTGATCCTACATAGTAAGCAAGAAGGCTCTACTCTACTATATAAATGATAATCACTACATTCATCGTGTATTGACACTGAATATCGTCAGAGGTGAAATATAAATGACAAACGAACAAGATCTTACAGATCTGTTCTATGGACTCTTTTGTAAAAGCAAATCCATCACTCTCATCAATTGCCTTCCAAATAGTGAAATGTTCCTTTCTCTCAGACCAATTATGACAATATTGTCAGTTTAAAAACCTTAAAAGAGAAATCAAATAAATAAGACAAGTCATGGAAAGGTTCACCAATGTACCACGTTAGATATAAGAACCCGAGGGTAAGCAATGGCAGTGCGGGGAGGAGAGAGGAGTTCACCTGCGACAGTTCAGATCTGACGGAGGAGAGGCACAGAGTAGTGTAGGCTGCTTTGAAACTGGAGCCTGATTAACAAGGCTCAAAAACAAAAACAGAGAGACGACATCGCAAGGTCGATCTGACGGAATCAGTAGCTCCAATGGAAGTTTTGCAGCAACGGAAACAGCAATGGGAGGTGGTGAGAGACGGTGAAAGGTGTTCAGATTCGGTGGAAGACAGCGAGAGACGGCTCGAGATGGAGGGGAAAGGCGAGAGACATTGCAAGATGGTGAGAGACGGCGAGCTTGGTGAGAGACGGCAAGAGACGGTGGCAGATCCATCGAAAAAAGCACGGGTAAGATGCAAAGATGAGAGCACAGTGAAGAGAAAAAGCTTTCGCCGAACCGTTTCTCACGGCCAGAGGCCGGAGAAAAGCTCGACTCAAACCGAGAAGAAGAAGGGTTGACGCCCGACATAAGAGAAACGGAAGAGGAAACGTGAGTCGCCGGCAGAGAAGGGATCGGTGAAAACATAGACAACGGCGCCTTGGAAAAAGTGTCTTGGTGTTTATTAGTTATGAACTTTAATTTCATGGCTATATATGTTTAGAACTTTTGAATTGGAGAGAAATAGGTTTACAACTTTCCTAAAAGGGAGATATATTGCAAGGTCGAAATTTCGTGTAGATTTGTTACTATATGAAATTTCAGAGGGGGAAATATGTCATTTTCTCCTTTTTCTTTCTAGCTGGAGACGCAAGAAAATGCAGTTTTGATACGTATGGAAAGATAAAAAAAACCTCAGCTGGATTTAGAGAAATTTGACCAATGATTTGAATACCGACCATACCCAAACTAATTTCCCTCAATGGATAGTGGTGCCACGGTATTGGTTATAATCTTGGTTATAATCTTGGTTATAGACTAGTATGTTAGTATTAAACCATTATTATTGAAAATATATGGGTAATCTGAGAACAACAAGGCTTAGGAATCTTTAATTAGAGTACTTGACCAGGACAAGGCAAAAAACGACAGTAACAGAGATGCTTATCTTGAGGTTGATCAGTGCAAGTACAATCGGTTGGACCAAGATCTCCAGTATCACCCCATGTTGCTTTTAAATCATCAAAGCATTGTGTAAAATCTTTTTTGCATGAACCACCAAATATTTGTTTCTTTGATGGGCACCATGGTCTTATCTCCTGTTGGAGGTGAAAACCGCACCTTGGTTTTCTCCGGTACAAATTGAGATCGGCGAACCGTAAGCCCGGTTTACGAAGGGATGTACCGAGAGAAGATGGGCCGAGCGAAGATGGGCCGAAGATAGCCCATTAGGCCGAGGTCGGTGGGAAACATCTCAAAGGAATGGAAGGTTTCCTTGAGCTCGGCCGAAACAGGAAAGTTTCCTGAGGGAAAAAGGAAACTTCGGAGAGAAAAGGAAAGGAACCGAGAGAAAAGGAAACTCCTCTCGGTCCCATATCGTCTAAGGCGTGCTTGAAGACCGACTTATGACTTATGAGATATATATAAAGGGAGACGAATCGACATCAGAGAACACAAGTTATTCCCAAGAAGACTTAAAGATTGAGAACTCATTACGACAGCTTCTTAGTCGCATTAAGTCTTAGTTCGTTATTGCCTATTGAAATAACCGAACTCAGTTGTATTTCACTTGATTCAATCTAATAAAACCGAGCTTCCGATCTAAATTACTGTTTTGTCCCTTGTCGATATTCACATATCAACATCTCCGCAACGGTTTGGCTTGGCAGAAGGGAGATTAAGACACAAGAAACCAACAAAACTGCAACCAACTTCATATTTTTTCTTATAGCTTATACGTTGTTTAGAATTTGTGATTTTATTTTGTTTTCCGAACAAGAACTTATATTCTACACATATATGATATATAGCTAGATATATATATATAGCTAGATATATATATATAGCTAGATATATATATATATATATACAATTACGTTGACCGAACACAATATTGCACTTTTTGTTTCTCTTTGGGAAATCCAATTATAATGTTGACACTAAAAGAGAATCCGTGTTTTATGGTAAGCTATTTTTAAGCAATGGTTATACATTAATAATTATCTCAAATAGACTAAAAGTTTTAAAACTAGTAAATATAATGCATTTAAACACCTTCTTATACAAATAATTTTCTCCTTCATTTTAAATAACTAATTTTGGATTTTTCACACATTTTAACTAAAACACCATTGACAAGTAAAAATTCAATTGTTTCAATTGATTGTTATTAATTTAAAAGGGAAAGAGTATCATTTTCTTAGAATTATATTTCAGTCCTTAAATCTCTGATAATAAACTAATTTTAAAATAGTTAAATTCATTCTGGCTATTTAAAATTATGTGGGATGTATTTTTTATAGCTTTAATTTCTCTAAATTATTACTTTTTATTCTTTGTTTATGGCTGAGACATAAAAACAGTTTTCTCTTGAAGTTGAAACAGAAAAAAATTAATCAGAAGAGAGATTTTGCATAGAAAATGAAAAAAAATATTTTTTCTTATTCTTATTTCCGTTAATTCACCAATAATTCAAATCTGTCGTTGAAAATGGTTTGTAAATGATGCCAAAAAGTACTATAATCCAGACTATTATTTCATTATTGGTTGACACAAGTATGTATTGATAAACGCTTGTGTCTTTTTCTTTTTTCTTTATATAACCTTGTTTTGCGATGTGGGGAAATGTTGATACACAGATTTGAATATGTTATATTAAATCATTATTATTAAATATTTATAAATAGGAAAATTACAACAATCACTCATTTTTAAGTGGAGGAGGGCAAGGAATAAAAGGACAACTACATAGATGCTTGTTCTGGGGTAGAGAAAAGCAAGAGCAACCGGTTTCAATCGGACCAAGCTGTCCCAGTGAACCCTCAAATGTTTTTACTAACTCATTATAGCATTGTGTGATGATATTCTTTTGGCATAAACCATCAAATGTTTGTTGTCTCGATTGGCACCACGGTCTTATCTCCGCGACGGTTAGGCTTGGGAGAAGGGAAAATAATACGCACGAAACCGATAAAATTGCAGCCAACTTCATCTCTCTTTTTTTTTTTTTTTTTTTTTGCTTTTGTATTTTTTTTTTCTAAATTCTTTTGCTCATATATGTATGTTGTTGTGACTTCTCCAAATAAGCACAGCTACTTTACATATTTATAATATGTACACATTTATGATATAGGTGTATATACACTAACTAATAATACACACATGTACGTTTGACCATACATAATTTTGCACCAATTGTTTTTGGAAAATCTAGTAATGTTTTGCCTTGAATGTTTGTGGTTTTTGAAATAGTTTTTGATTTTTATTTCACAGAAAACCAATTGATGATCCAATCAAGATTTTGGTCAAAGTGATTCCTTAATTTTTTAAGGAAATTAGATTTTTCATAGATTTTTCTTTTTCTACATAAAAACTAGAATCTCTATTTCTTGAATTTTTTTCCATTTGTTGTCCAGATTGTTCATTTTTTGTGTGCAAATTTTACAAATTTACAGAAAAATCAAAAAATAAAAACACAAAATCTTAAATCTTAAAACCAAAAACCAAAAACTACAAGCCAAAAACCAAAATATAAAAACCATACAAACATTCAGACTAACCAAAAGTTTATTAAAAAAAAAAAGATTTACTCATTCCTAATTATATAATTTAAGATTTTTTCAACCAGAGAAAAAATCTAATTACATTAAAAACTTTAACCAAATTTTTTAAAATTCAATTATTTTGAATACCCGAATGTTTACCTATAGACAGATCCACTACAATCTATTTTCAGAGAGAATTGTATGGGGCTGCCCCAATTTTGACCCAGTTTCTTCCTAGCTAGGCTCTATTTTTTTAGACATATTCTTCATAATTTTTAGTTCTTACTTATGATTTTTTTTTATTATTAGGAGGTTCTGGACCAAAGCACGTAACTACCCAAAACTCGAAACCATAGCATGTAATATTAGTTTCGTTCCAAGAGTTACTTGAACCAGCAACTACGTTTTACCTGAGATCTTTACCAGTTGAACTATTGGTTTTTGATTTATGATTTTAATCATAAGGGAAAAGGCTGTCAAAAAAAAAAATCATAAAGGAGAAGATCAATTTGGAGAAGATTTATGAATGCTATTATTTTTTCCATAAATTTATTATTTTTTTAGTTTTTTAGTCCAGATTCAGTCTTGATTCATGGGGTCGGAGAAAGAAGGGGTTGGGTTTAAAAAATCTCTTACGATGAAACAATTGCTTAAATCTTATATAAAATTGATATATGTAAAAATCTGGTTAATTTTAAATATATGTACAAATCTGGTGAGTTATAATCCTAACACATGTCACGTTAAAATATATTGAACTTCCCAAATTTATATCATATGATAAGGTTTCCTTCTTGCTTTTCAAAATGTTTTCATTTAGATTTTTTCTGTCAACCATTTGGTTTTTTTTTTGTTTGAAACATGTCCACATTTTTTAAATGTACACGATTTATCAGAATAGACTCTATGAATATATGGGCCTCAAACGAACCAGAATATCATTTTGCTATTACACCAAACAAGGTAAAGAAAGCTCCTTAACATAACATCGTCAGAGAACTAAAAGTCACTTTTCTGTGCCACAAGGCCCACAACACACGTTGTCTCTTCATTTTGCGAAGATCCTTCATCAGAAACTTTCTCTGTTCTTGAGCCATTTTGTGAACTCTTCAAGGGTGCTCTCGTCTGATCTATAATGTTTCATTACAAACTCAAGAAGCATAGACCATGTAAAATCAGGATACACTCTTTCTTCTTCTAATTCCACAGGTGGCTTCACCACTTTGTCTTTTTTGGGACATAAGAAGAATGCAAGTGTCTTTCTTTCTGTCTCTTTATTCACCACCGCCCGATGCAAGCAACTCTTGTATCTTCCGTTGGTTAGAGCCTATGATCAAAATAATGTTTTTGTAATTTTCTGTATTATTATCAATTTCAATTCTCAAAAATGTATATCTTTCACTCGTTGGTCTTGTACCATGAAAGTGTCGCCAATGTTCACCACCAATGCTTGAGGGTTAGGAGGGATTGCTTGCCATTGATTTTCCACGAGAACTTGAAGACCACTAACTTGATCTTGTTGAAGTATGGTTAGAGAGGTCGGGTCGCAGTGTGGCCCTGTCCCTAGTACATCATCCGATTGCTTACACTTTGGATAGTAATTCAATCTAAATATGGATTCGTTGTCTTCGAAAAACTCTTTGAAATGGTTCCTATTGATGCCAAGACTCATTCCAAGAAGCTCCATGATCTTCAGTGAGAGATCGCTCATGGCCTCTGCGTATTCTTGATAAACCCTCCTGTACGTATGCATGGAAAAGATTATAACTAACTAGTAGTATTCTTGCATTTACGTATAATATTTAATACATAACATCAAACGCATACCAAAAAAAAAAAGTGAAAGCAACGAAAGAAAGCGTCTTTAATATACCCAAAATCTTTGTATTCGTCTCCCATTGTCTTAATAATGAATTCTTTAACGTTTTGGGAGTGGTTCTTGCTTTTCTCCTCGGGGGAGAAACAAAACGACAGCGTTTCCTTCCACGGGAGATTCTTCTCGAACCTCCCGACAAAACTACTAGCGTAACCCGAGATTTCACCCCACTTCCTCTGAGCCTTCTGTTTCTCACAAGTCGGTGACTTAAAGAATGTGTCCATTAATGTATTTGCACTAGACAAAAGCCTCTCATCGACTCCGTGGTTTGTGACTAGGAAGAAACCATGTTTCTTTGCCGCTTCTGAGACGAGTCTTGTAGCCTCTGAGACCAAGAATGGGTCACCGGAGAGGAAACCAGCGAGGTCAATAAGAGGAACTTGTAGGATTGGAACGTTTGTAGAGGGTTTGTCATGGTCAGGCCATACAAACTCTTGAGGTATTTGGTTTGGTTTATTGTTTAGAACCGTTGAATCAAAGATCATCAAAAGGTTCTCTTTGGTTTTAATTTCATTGAATGTTTGAGGGAGATTTGTGATGCATTCCATTTCAAGTGGAAATGAAAATATGTTTGAAAGAAACAAGAACTTTAAAGGCTTTTCAAAATAGAAAATTACGTTGGAGTTTAGGCTCTCGTTTTCTTTTAGTGTTGTTGTGTAAATGGAGGGGAGAAGAGTAGTATTTATAGAGCGAGGAAGATAATATTCGTTTTTTTTTTGTTTTGTTCTTATCTTAAACTATTTTTTTGTCTATAGCTATAGACGGTGATCAAATCCCTCTGACTAGAGAACTATAGACGGTTATCTAACTATATAAAAAACATGACAGAAATTATAATTAACAGGATGCGACAAATGTCAAAAAAAGAAATTGATGTGTCAAATTTTGTTTTGAATAATAGTTTCATTTCTGCAACTTTGTAAACCTGTAGGCATTTCAATTTTCAGGTCGTGACACCTATTAAAAATAGTATTGTGGGTTTAATTAATTACTTTAATTAGTAAGCATATCCAAAATTTTTAATTCTAAATAAGTAACATATATCAATCATATATTAATGGCAGATTTTTTTCCTCTCTTAAGGTACTGTCCAAATCATCAAAAAGAAAATATTTTTCTTTTTTGAGAAAAAGGAAATATATTTTTCATTTTTTCTTTTTTTTGAGAAAAAAGAAATATAATTTTTATCTAGAGTGTACACCGTTTCAAAGTAAAAGACAATAATGCAATTATGATAAATATAAGACTAGTTAACTTTCTCGCGTCTTATGCAGATTTATATAATTTCAATTTGATTGTTTGAAAATCTAATAGTAGTTTGGGTTCATTTATTCTTTATTTTTGAGTATATTTGTTTGTTAGATTTTCTTACATTTTAATGTTGGATGACATGAACATAAAAACAGTATAGAATAGAATAGAGTAAATAAAAACATAATAGTATCCAAATAATTTAGTTTAAATAGTTTTGAGATCTTTTGATCAATATTCTATGTATTTTAGATGTAATTTTTTGAGCTTATTCGATTTTAATCACTGTTTTATGTGTTTTAAATATCATAAATATTGTCATTCCATTAACTAAATATATATATATATATATATATTTCTTTTTAAAAAAAACTTTTTTGTTAGAGTTTTTTTTGAAATTCCAGTTTTTTATTTTATGTTTTGAAACGACATTCTATTACTTTTTAAATAGTTTCTATTTTTTGTTTATTTTAAAAATTTTGTTAGATTTTTTTTGTAAATTTTGGAAACAGAAGAAATAGTAAACACTAACAGATATAGATTCCATTTTTTTATATAAAAAAAACAGTTTTATTAAATTTTTACAAAAATTTGTTATATATAAATTTAAAAACAGTTTGATTGACTATGAAATTAAACATTAAACCATAATAATTTAGACCAGTTTGTTTTAAGTTTTTTTTTACATATCATGAGATCAGAACCAATAAAAAAATAACACGTAATTGCAAAAATATGGCTAAACAAATTTTTTACAGCCAAAATTTTGACTGAAATTAAATATTAAACCATAATAATTTAAACCGGTTTATTTTAAGTTTTTTACACATCATCAGATAAGAACCAATAAAAAATGATATGTAATCGGTAAATAATATAAAAAGTCTTTTTGCAGCCGAAACTCATTCTGGAGCTGACACATAAGCGAAAGACTGTGAAACTCGCTGTGAGCGTGCCTTGCGCGAGTTGATATAATTTTCATTTGATTGTTTGAAAATGTAATAGTAGTTTGGATTCATTTGTTTTTTATTCTTGAGTATATTTGTTTGTTAGATTTTCTTGTATTTTAATGTTAGAAGATGATAACACCGTATTTTGACCACTTTTATGGATCGTTTTGAAATACTTTTTCTATGTTTTTAATTGCTTTTAAGTACTTTTATTACGTTTTTCTAGTATTTGTAGTTCCAAGACTCTTTTCAGGTAACTTAGGGAAAAGCTTAACAAAATGGATAGAAAACCAGATTTCAACTCAGAGTCAAACCGTCAGAAGTTCACCCCTGATTGAAGGCCTTCTCACCGTCTGATCCAGCTCAAATTTGGAGACCTTAAATATGGAAGTATCAGCTTTCCAGTGCACTTTACAGCTTGGCAATCCAACGGTTCAATCAAAAGATATGCAAAGAGCAAGATGTCCCGTAAACCAGCTGGCCAGCACTTCCACCCGCGGCCAACAAGCATTTTCCCGCGGTCAGGAGCATCCCGACCGTGGCAAACCATACATTCCCCGCGGTCAGAACACTCCCGACCGCGGCCTTCAACCTCCGAGCCCATAAACCCATTTCTGAAGCCCACAATGATTCCTTCATTTGGAGAAACCCTAAGTGACGTCCAGAGAGGTCTTGAGCACTATAAATACATGTCTTAGGAACTCTAATCGATAATCTTCTATCTTCTATCTTTTTTATTGTTTTAGAATACTTGTTTTGCTTTAGATTTTAGTGAGAGAGAGATTTGTTCTCTTGAACCCTTGTTCTTTCTTTTTCAATTTCGATTTCTATTCTACATCTTAATACTATGCTTTTGATTTCGTTCATTATGTCTGAGTAGTTTTATTGTTGGGATTAAGGGATTTTCGATGGGGATTTATATGTTCGATGAGGATTCCATGAGCTTTTGAGCCGAATCTTAGAACTTTTTCTTCTGAATTCGTTTTTACTGCATGAGAGTAGCGTCATGAACTACAATCTGATCCAGATGCTTGGTGACACGAAAGTGTTCATCAGGTATCAGATCTAGTTTGGGAGAGCAAAACAAACATAGGAGTGGAAACCTACCTATGGGCGATTTGTGAATTAGGACGAGTCTTAAACATAATGCATCTCTTCTCTTCCAGGGCCAGAGTGGAAACCTACTGGTCAGGGTTGAGAGAGATAGTTGTCTATGATCACGACAGTGGCGTATTCATACGTCAGTGACTCTAGTTCGAAAAGTTTAAGCTAAGATCTTACAAAATTTCCTCTCTAGCAATGTTTTGAATCGTTCGTACCCCTGAGAAAACTTCCCTGAACCCCAACGCTTTCTTTTCCATTGATTTCCTGCGATTTTCTTTAAAGCTTTAGTTCAATATTGTCTTTCCTTTTTAGTTCATTTTCATTTAAGCATTAGAATATCCGTTTTTATTATTTTTAGTCATTTTCGTTAAGTTTAGTTATTACGTCATTTAATTTTCGTATTCTCTTTTAATATTTCGTTTTTTACATTTTAAAGACACCACCAAACCCCCACTAAACCGTTTTTGTTCTATACTTCCTTACTTTAACTTATTTCAAAGGCTTTTTGCAGCAAAAGATCCTCCTTCCCTGTGGATTTGATCCCTAAGTACTACAATTGATCAGCTGTGCACTTGCGGTTATTGATTTCAATTAGGGTAAAACTTGACAACCATCGACACACCCACACACACCACCACATCAAGTTTTTAGCGCCGTTGCCGGGGAAGGCACGCGTTTTCTTTTCTGCAAAACCCCGAGAAAGGTTAGTAAATCGACTCTAGAACCCCCTTTTCTGCAACTTTCCATTTTTCGGTTATTTTGTTTCCATTTCAGAAGATATGGATCATATGAAACGAAATTACTACTATGAGGGAGGTTTTTACAACACTCCTCGAGCCACTCAACGCCGAGAAGCACAATACATTCGTGATCCCTCCTCAATGGATCAGAATTCAATTCCGAACCACCACAAAAGAGGACATCGCAAGCACTACAAATCAATTCGCGAAGGTTTAGAAGAAAAAGGATTCTGCTGGGAGACCATAACAACTTACAATTCCCACGAAGATATCAATGATGCTCTCTTTGATGAAGATATGTCGTCTGTCTCCCAAACCGAGATTGATGATATGCTTCAGGAGCTCAATGAATCTATGGATGATGGGTATTGGGTATCTTGTGAAGTAGATGGAGAATCCTCCATCAAGTTTGTTAGAAAGAGGTCATCGAATGAAATTCCTTTGGATAATCACGTCATGGAAGCCAGCCATCAAGAAAAAGGAGAACCTCTTTCCATCCCTAGTGACGATCTCGTCTCTACCGATTCATTCAAGTGTTTTGGAGCAACAAACAAGATCATAAGTCCCTTCCTCTTGATGAACCAAAGCCTTTTTCTCCTTCAGCTCCTCACCACCTTGAATGTAAGACAGACCACGTGGAAGATAAGACACTAATGGTGACATCAAAACCACCATTGGAGGCGCTTTCTAAGACGAAGGATTCCGAGAAGTCTGATGCCCCATTCTCAATCAAGGAAAAGAAATTTCGTGATTCTCTTTGTGAATCTGGACCTGATGTGAATCTCATACCAAAGACCATTGCAGAGAATACAGGTATTTCGATTTTTCATCCCTTGAAGATTGATATTCACTATGGAGATTTTTCTGGTGCAGCTCTACTTGGTTCCAAACCAGAATTGCCTTTTCAAGGGAATGGTTGTCTTGTTTCTACTGGTTTCCATGTTATGGAGATGAGAAACAATGCAACAAAACCCTTGATACTTGGTATTTCGTGTCTAGCATATGTTGGAACACTCATCAACTACCTGCATCAACATATGAGTTTCTTGAAGATCAACAAGAAAACCTCATACCCGGTGATTACTACAAGAAACTCTCATTGTCTGACAATAGGAGGCGTAGATGATCCAATATTTGACCCTGGAGGAACTACAAAGGATGTTGGATACATTCTAGAAAGAAGAGCACCCAAAGAAAATGCTCGATTTACAAGTTTGACAAACAAAGGTATTTTCCTATGCACACCTTTAACCAATGCTCATATAAGAGGTGATGCAGACTTAATCGAAGCAAGAGTGGAGTTTAAATGGCTCTCAAGACTCTTTTCCGAAGACTCTCCACAAGGAAAAAGAATCGGAGACAAGAAGCAAGACGATTTGAACATCTTTCCTGGGATATTCGGCACCGCGGTCGCGTGTGCGCTACCAGCGGCCAAATCACCTTTCGCCGCGGTCGCGTGTGCGCTACCAGCGGCCAAACCACCTTTTACCGCGGTCACGACAC